GAGTGCAATGGCGCGATCTCGGCTCACCGCAACCTCCGCCTCCTGGGTTCAGGCAATTCTCCTGCCTCAGCCTCCTGAGTAGCTGGGATTACAGGCACGTGCCACCATGCCCAGCTAATTTTTTGTATTTTTAGTAGAGACGAGGTTTCACCGTGTTGACCAGGATGGTCTCGATCTCTTGACCTCGTGATCCACCTGCCTCGGCCTCCCAAAGTGCTGGGATTACAGGCGTGAGCCACCGCGCCCGGCCCAATTTTTTTCTTTTTTAATTTGAGATGGAGTCTCACTCTGTCATCCAGACTGGAGGGCAGTGATGCGATCCAACTTTGCCTCCAGGGTTCAAGTGATTCTCCTGCCTCAGCCTCCCGAGCAGCTGGGATTATGGACATGCAACACCATGCCCAGCTAATTTTTGTATTTTTTAGTAGTGACAAGGTTTTACCATGTTGGCCAGGCTGGTCTTGACCTCCTGACCTCAGGTGATCCGCCTGCCTTGGCATCTCAAAATTCTGGGATTACAGGTGTGAGCCACCACGCCAGACCTAAAATTTCTTTATTAAGCATTAATAACTTATCATTTATTAAAATCCTGCCACAGTCAAGCAAAGCCCTATACTATATGCTTGAGGGGTAACTGAACCCAAGGCAGAAAGTCCTGACCTGAGCGAGGGCTACGTAAGTGATGGGTGCCTAAGTGTATCAGGTACTTTGAAATGTTAGATATTTTCCTGACAGTTATCTAATGTCTAGCGACATTTGACGAACTTCACCTTCAGTTGTCCTACTTTCCTAGCTCTTTTAGTTTTTCCTTTTTAAAAATCTTACACTTCTATCATGGCATACCTTTAATCAAAAGTCATGGGGGAAAGAGAAGTTATGAATCAGTTGAAAAAAACTCAAGGGAAAAAAAATTTTACTCTGAAAAACTTCTGGAAATACTGATGTCTGTTGGTATGGATAAGGCGTATTTTGACCATTTTATGGCATTCTTCGTGTTAGATAACTTAGTCAACTGAGGTTGGAGAGGAGATAAAATATTACATTTAATTCATCCAGACTAGCCCCACTCAAATGTTTCACGGATTTGAGGAGATTAATAGCCAAGTTAAATGTACTTTCAATTCTTGTTCAGAAAAGAAAAAAAGTCTGTGTGCCATAAAGGAGTGAAGAGAGGAGTGAACCCTGGGTTCAATGGCCTCCTTGCACAAGGGGGACCATTTGCCCTGTGCGTGGTGTCTCATTATATGACAAGGTAATGATCGTTAATGGAACATGAAGAATGAAACAGATTTCTTTTTTTCTTTTCTTTCTTTTCTTTTTTTTTTTTTTGACAGAGTCTTGCTCTGTTGACCCAGCTGGAGTGCGGTAGCGCCATCTTGGCTCACTGCACCCTCCGGCTCCTGATTCAAGCGATTCTTCTGCCTCAGCCACCCAAGTAGCTGAGATTACAGATGCCTATCACCATGCCCAGCTAATTTTTGTAGTTTTAGCAGAGACGGGGGTTTCACCATGTTGCGTAGGCTGGTCTCGAACTCCTGACATCAAGTGATCTGCCCTTCTCTGCCTCCTAAATGCTGGGATTACAGGGGTAAGTCTCTATACCCGGCCAGAATGAAACAGATTTCTGATGCCACATGCCACCACAAGACTATTTCTTCATTAACAAGGGAGGATAGTAGCTATTTTGAGCTTTAGAGTCATAGAAAACTAGACAAAAATCTTACACTTTGCAAAACTAATATTTGAAATGACATTACCTTGTGTTAAAGTTGATAATTTAAAAATGTATCATTTTTGGTCAGGCGAGGTGGCTCACGCCTGTAATCCTAACACTTTGGGAGGCCGAGGTGGGTGGATCACCTGAGGTCAGGAGTTCAAGTTCAGCCTAGCCATCGTGGTGAAACCCCATCTATATATATATTTAAAAAAATTATTTAAAAAAATATCATTTTTGCTCTTCCATGGAGAGGTTTTTGCTGAGATAAGAATTAATGTGATGGCCAGGTGGTGTTGGCTCACGCCTGTCATCTTAGGACTTTGGGAGGCCAACGCGGGAGGATCACTTGAGGCCAAGAGTTTGAGACCAGCCTAGTCAACATTGCAAAATCACATCTCTAGTAAAAATACAAAAATTAGCCAGCCTTGGTGGCTTGCACTTGTAATCCCAGCTGCTCGGAGACTGAAACGGGAGAATCACTTGAACCTGGGACGCAGAGGTTGCAGTGAGTGGATATCGCACCACCGTACTCCATGCACTACGGGCTGGGCGATAGTGCGAAACTCTTTCAAAAAAAAAAAAAAAAAAAGTATGCTTTTGAAGTTTCATTACTTAACCTGCGATTCCTTCTCCTCCTCCTGTCAATTACCTCAGTAAAATCTCGTTAAAATTACAGTGTTAAAGTGTGCTTCAAATTCTAATTTTAGGTGGGGGTTAAACTTGGTTATATAATTCATTCATTACAATACAAAATGGTTATTGCTAAATTCTTATCAGTTCCTTATGTCCTCTTAACATTTTATGTTTCTTTTTGTAAACTAGTGAGGAGGTGCTCTCATTTTCTCCCTGGTTCAGAGAAAAGGGCGTCTGAATGTCAGTTCCGAAGGGGTACTGGATGCCGAAAGAATATAAACGCAGGTAGTTAAGACGGCAAACATACGCGATTACCCAACCTCGCGCAGAGATGGCTTCCCCAGCGGGAAGGAGAAGCTGTGTGAATCCTTCGATAGCTCAGTTGGTAGAGCGGAGGACTGTAGTGAAATTTCCTCGGGCATCCTTAGGTCGCTGGTTCGAATCCGGCTCGAAGGAGTTCACGACTTTTTCTTTCGGTCAATTTTGAAATTCACTCTCAGAAAGGCATATTCCATTTACACTTTTCCTCGATGAGAATTTATTTAAAACTATTCTGGACATGCAGTGAATCTCTAATTTTTTATTATTCTCCGTAATAGTTTTTAACGCATGATCAAGACTTCATCCCTATAATTCACATAATCCAACCCTCTTAGAAGCCCTGGCCACTGATGAAGTGAATCCGACACTGGTCCTCTAGGCTAGGGATCCAGAGAGGCGTCTCAACCCCTCAACCCTGGATCCACAAGCCGTGGTGAAACGGGGGGCTGGTGGGAATTAGGCGGAGCAACCGGTAATTAGTGGGGCTCGCGCGCCCCCTGGTGTTCAAAGTTCTGAATCGTTGAGACTCGGTTACGTATTAAACCACCAGTAGCTCCCTACAACGTCTGAAGCCGGGATGAAATTCGGGGGGTCTATTCGCCCTTCTTATTTTAATTGTCACGGTGGTGGCTTTCTACCCTAGCTGAGAATATGTGCTTGATTATGAGAATCATTTTAGGAGAAAATAATACGTAAGGGGAAAAATGGACAAAATTTCCTACTAAGGTAGGGAATTAGTTCACAAAGTAGAGATCTGGCATAACGGTGGTACATATTTGCTAATTTTGTGTAAATCTCATTAAAATATATTAATCCTATGGTACCCTTTTGTATCTCAAAAATGTGATCCCAGATACCTATGAAAGAAAATGATTCTCAAACTTGGATATGTATCAGAATAACCTGGAAAACTAAATTAAAACCAAAAAAACCACAGAAGCCCAGGCTTATTGAATTAGGGTAGTGGTTCAAGAGCCCTGCCCAAAACGCATTGGAAGCCACTTCGTTAAGGGCTGCAGATGGAATCTAAACTTGCTTTTTGAAAGCTGATTGAGGGCAAAATCTTTTTTTTTTTTTTTTGAGACGAATTCTTGCCCTGTCACCAGGCTGGAGTGCAGTGGCGCTATCTCTGCTCACTGCAACCTTCGCCTCCCGGGTTCAAGCGATTCTCCTGACTCAGCCTCCCGAGTAGCTGAGATTAACAGGCGTCGGCCACCACGCCTGGCTAATTTTTGTATTTTTATTAGAGAAGCGGTTTCATCATTTTGGCCAGGATGGTCTTGATCTCTTGACCTCGTGATTCGCCTGCTTCAGCCTCCCTAAGTGCTGGGATTATAGGCATGAGCCACTGCACCCGGCCAAAAAATGATCTTTTCAAAGGTAATGTTTGGGCCTTGAATGCAACAGTTATTAAGTAGTCCTGGACTAAGCTTCTTGCCAAGGCACAGTGGATTTCAGTACAGATAGGTTCTCTGCCACGAATTCTCCTCCCATATGCCAGCACCAGTAACAGCAGCAGACCCTCAACCCCCACCCTGCGCAAGATATAGCGAGATGACATCAGAAGAGTAAGGGTGAATGTCAAAACAAAACAAAACAAAACAAACCCAAACATACCTACATATGTTTTCGCTCTCCACCATCTTATTTTTATTTTATTTTATTTTTTTTTGAGACAGAGTTTCTCACCTGTTGCCCAGGCTGAAATGCAGTGGCACAATCTCGGCTCACTGCAACCTCCACCTCCCGGGTTCAAGCGATTCTCCTGCTTCAACCTCCCTAGTAGCTGGAACTAAAAGCGCACACCACCACGCCCAGCTAATTTTTGTATTTTTAGTAAAGATGGGGTTTCACCATGTTGGCCAACATGGCCTTGTGAACCGCTTGCCTCGGCCTCCCAAGTGCTGAGATTATAGGAGTGAACCACCATGCCAGGCTCATCCACCATCTTGTTAAGAATTCTAAGAATAAATATGTACTTTTAAAAATCTTTTAAAAATTTGTAATACAGGGCCAGTCGTGGTGGCTCACGCCTGTAATACCAGCACTTTGGAAGGCTGAGGCGGGAGGATCACTAAAGGTTAGGAGTTCGAGACCAGCCTGGCCAACACAATGAAAATCCGTCTCTACTAAAAATAAGCCCAGTATGGTGGGGCACAGCTCTAATCTCAACTACCGGGGAGGCTGAGGCACAAGAATCGCTTGAACCCTGAAGGCAGAGGTTGCAGTGAGCCAAGATCGTACCATTGCAAAGTCAGCCTGTCTCAAAAAAAAAAAAAAAAAAAAGGAAAGAAAAGAAAACCAAAACAAATGGTTATACGTCCTCAGCCTGCTCTGAGAAAAATGTAATACACAAATGATCAAAGTGTATAATAGATATGCATTAATGCACCTGGAGAGGACCAACATACAGAACTGAAAACAGTGAGAGGAATTCCAAATAACCGCCCGGTCTACCACAAAACAGTCTGAGGACGAGGGAACCACAGAGTAGATGGGTCTTCTTGGGTGGTGAGGGAAAGCCGGGCTTAGGGTTCTTGAAGGTGAGACCACCCCCATCATGATATGGTAGCGTGTTAGCCGCTTTTGTGTCAGCGAGGTATTCATGGAAAGATAGGAGTAAAGGCCAAAGTGTAAAGTGGGAGAGGAAACTACATAAAACTGGAGAATGCGGGCATCGATCCCGCTACCTCTCGCATGCTAAGCGAGCGCTCTACCATTTGAGCTAATTCCCCCTCCCACACAAGCGTTTTTCCATCCTTTACCCTCTTTGATATCTGGAAGAAATTCAGGACTCGCTGCTATCAGCTAATAGGAAAAAAAAAAGAACTGTAGATCGATGGTGACTAAAGAGCTTCAGCATGACTTCCGCCGCTCAGGCTGTCTTTAACCTGTTCTGCTGTGTCGGATCCCATCGGGAGAAGACCACAACGTGCAGGTGAACCAGCGAGCCCGAGTCCACAGAAACAGCTGTCTTGCGGGTGGGGGAAGAGTTTAACACCGGAATCACATCTGCGGAAACCGGGACCTGGCGGCAAATTGAGGATGCACCCAGAAGGGAAAAATCAAGTTTATTAAGCAATGAGGTTCGGCCTTGGCCTACTCAGCAGTTTCTACCACACTCCGCACCCGTGAAATTTCTGTCTATTGGCTGGGCGCGGTGGCTCACGCCTGTACTCCCAACACTTTGGAAGGCCGAGGCGGGCGGATCACTAGATCTGGAAATTGAGACCATCCTGGCCAACATGGTGAAACCCCGTCTCTACTCAAAACACAAATATTAGTTGGGAGTGGTGGCACGTGCCTGTAATTGCAGCTACTCGGGAGGCTGAGGCAAGAGAATCACTTGAACCCGGGAGGCAGAGGGTGCAGTGAGCCGAGATCGCAGCACTGCACTCCAGCTTGGCGACAAGGCAAGACTGTCTCAAAGAAAAAAGGAAAAGAAAAAAAATCCCCCTAGTCATCTGGTTCTAGAAACAGATTATCCAGCGTCTCTAAGGATCTACGAATGTCCCGTAAGTCAGGCGCGTTGGTTCACACCTGTAATCCCAGCACCTTGGGAGGCCGAGGCGGTTGGATCACTTGAGGTTAGGAGTTCGAGACCAGCCTGCCAATATGGTGAAACCCGGTCTCTACTAAAAATACAAAAAAATTAGCCGAGCGTGGTGGCGTGCGCCTGTAATCCCAGCTGCTCTGGAGGCTGAAGCAGGAGAATCGCTTGAACCCAGGAGGCGGAGGTTCCAATGAGTTGAGATCGCGCCGCTCCACTCCAGCCTGGGCTACCGAAGTAGGGCTCCTTCTCAATAAGAACAGCAGCAACAGCAACAACAACAAAAAGAATCCGCCTTTTGTCTGACTTGGTCACTGCCGGAGGACCTGTAGCCACGAGGGGGCATGCGTCCCATTCGATTTCTCTATTTTGGCTTCTGTAGTCCTGATTTCGATCAAGGGGTGTACTAATTATTTTTTATTTTATTTTATTTTTTTACTAATTATTTTTCTAAGGTAAATATTAGGAAGAGAAGCGAATATACCTATGGTTACAGACTTAAAGGTGGAGTCTTTGCACAAAGACAAATGCTTTAGATGCCACTTTTTCTTCTGGGCCTATTGAGTACCAGGTACTGTGTCCGGTGCTAGGTGCTAAGTACTTTTCAGCAGAAGTTAGTTGAGAAGAGGAGGATCCGTTGGCTCATAATCTCAGGAAAGCCATAGGAAGGCCCTGCACCTTCAACTGCTTCTTTTCCAGAAATCCCATTATTAGAAACTTCCTCTTTTTATTTTCTAGTCTCAATGAAATTGGGGCAAGATGCTACCAACTGAAAGTGGAGAAGACAAAATATCTTATTTAAGAAGGTGACTATGCTGCACAGGGCATAGTAGGTCTTTTGAAGACCTTTAGACAGCCTTAAAGATTTGTTCTTCTCTTTTGCTTTTTCATTCCAATTAGGGGTGACAAAACTGGTTAACTCTGTGGGAAGAAGACCTCCCAATTTCCTGCCCCCAGCATTTTAGACAAGAGAGTTCAAAACTCAGATGTTAGCCAGGAGCAGTGGCTCACGCCTGTAAATCCCAGCACTTTGGGAGGCTGAGGCTGCTGGATCACTTGAGGTCAGGAGTTCGAGAACAACCTGACCAACAAGGTGAAACCCTGTCTCTACTAAAAATACAAAAATCAGCTGTGAGCAGTGGCAGATGCCGGTAATCTCAGCTACTTGAGAGGTTGAGGCAAGAGAATCGCCTGAACCTGGGAGGCGGAGGTTGCAGTGAGCAGAGATTGCACCACTGCTCTCCAGCCTGGGCGACACAGCGAGACTGGCTCAAAAACCAACAAACAAAAAACCGACTCACATGTTATACCTGTGTGTAGAAACCCACCATTCCTCTCGCAACTTGGCTCAAAGTCAGCCTTGCTTTGAAGTTCATGCCACCTAGGTGTTTTCTCCTTATTCGACCCTGGACAGAATTTTCTTTTTCCATTTTCTTAGGTTTTCACTATTTATGACAAATATTCCACATTCGTGATTCTCTCCAGTCAAAAGTTCTTTGAGACGATGCCATCGGCCTTGGACAATCGGAGAATGGAATCATCTGACTCACCCATCCTACCAATGGCCCCGCAGAGGGCATAAGTTTTAAACTGGCCGTTAAACCTGCCTGTGACCTTATGAACCCCGGCCACGTTCATCTGGATGGATGTGTGGTCCTGGGCACCGACGATGCGGTTGCTAGCGGAGCATGTCCGCGGCAGGTGCAGGTCCACTAGCTCCCCGGCGTCGCTCTGCGTCTCGAGGCCGCTCCTGCTGCCACCACACCGCACGTGAGCCTTCTCTGTTTATTTTCTATGACTTTATTAGGAGTGCAGGTGTGGAAATGAGGTGAAAGAAAATTAGCCCAATCCCATAGTTCAGATGCATGCGTTGTATGTTGCCATGACTGTAAACTGGGAGCAATTGGTTTGCCTGGGCCTTTTGAATTGGGAGTTCTGGTTTCCAGCAACATTGGATTAGGTATTAAATTTTACAGCTTCTTAGTTACCACAGAAGTAAATTAAGATCAAGAAGCCCTATCTCTATTAAAAAATACAAAAATTAGCCAGGCGTGGTAGCATGTGCCTTTAGTAGTCCCAGCTAGCAGGGAAGCTGAGGTGGGTGGATCACCTGAGGAGCCTGAAGGTGTGGAACTGTAATCATGCACTCCAGCCTGGGTGACAGAAAAAAAAAAAAAAAAGCCTTAAATTTCACATGGAAGTTTTAGCAGTTGTTAGCAAACCATTGACTCTCAACTCCAAACAACTCTCAACTGCTATGGACTGAACTGTGTTTCCTTAAAATTCTGTGTTGAGGCGGGGTGCAGTGGCTCACACTTGTAATGGCAGCCCTTTGGGAGCCTGTGGTGGGAGGATCACTTGAGTTCAGAAGTTCCAGAGCAGCCTGACCAACATGGAGAAACCCCCAGTATCTACTAAAAATAATAATAATAAAAATTATCTGGGCGTGATGTCGCATGACTGAAATCCCACTTACTCGGGAGGCTGAGGCAGGAGAATTGCTTGAACCCGGAAGGTGGAGGTTGCAGTGAGCCAAAATCAGGCCATTGCACTCAAGCCTGGGCAACAAGAGTGAAACTCCGTCTCAAAAATGAAAAAAAGCCGGGCGCAGTGGCTCAAACCTGTAATCCCAGCACGTTGGGAGGCCGAGGCGGGTGGATCACGAGGTCAAGAGATCGAGACCATCCTGGTCAACATGGTGAAACCCCGTCTCTACTAAAACTACAAAAAATTAGCTGGGCATGGTGGCGCGTGCCTGTAATCCCAGCTACTCAGGAGGCTGAGGCAGGAGAATTGCCTGAACCCAGGAGGCAGAGGTTGCGGTGAGCCGAGATCGCGCCATTGCACTCCAGCCTGGGTAACAAGAGCGAAACTCCGTCTCAAAAAAAAAAAAAAAAGGAAAAAAAAGAAAAAGAAATGGTGTGTTGAATCCCTAGCCCTTAAAGTGGCTTAGTGTCCTTATAAGAGGAGACAGAGTACTCAAACCATGTGAAAACACAGCAATAAGGTGGCCATCTTCAAGCCAGGAAGAGAGCCCTTACCAAGAACCAAATCAGTTGGCAACTTGATCTTGGACTTCCCAGCCTCCAGAACTGTGAGAAAATACATTTGTTGTTTTAAGCCACTGCGTCTGCGGTATTTTGTCATAGCAGCATGCTGTGGTTTGAATGTCTGTGTCCTTCCAAAATTCATTATACTGAAATCTAAGACCTCATAAGATAGTATTAAGAGATGGGGACTTTAAGAAGCCATTAGGCCATAGGAGCTCTGCCATTTTTGTGTGTGTGTTGGGGGGAGGGCTTCTCTTTCTTCTGCCATATGAGAACACAGTGTTTCTTCCTTTTGTCCTTCCATGTCTTCTGCCATGTGAGAATACACAAATAGGCCGTATCTTGGAAACAGAAAGCAGGTCTCACCACATACTGAATCAGTGAAAGTGAATCTGCTGGTACCTTGATCTTGGACTTCCCAGTCTCCAGTACTGTGGGCAATAAATTTCTATCTTTTT